ACATAAACAGTCATTGATGTATATATGCATGATGAATGCATGTATGGTATGATAACAAGCCAACCAACCGTCTGTAAAGTGTCGAAGAAAAAGTATAGTAAAATTCTCCTACAATTCCCTGATCTACTCGCAAAATTTCTTCCAATGTAGCACTAGTGGCATTAAATTGCATGTACATCCGTCGAGTGATAGAAGGGCAGATAACCCAAATACGATTGTGCCAGTAATCTCGGACTTTAAAGACTTCTAAGATATTATAGTTCCATAAAATGAAGATTTGTTATTAATAAAAATTTATTTAGCTTTGTTTTTGAACAAAGTTGATAATGTACCATAAACTTGAGTAATTCTCGATAAAGTTTTTGTAGTAATCGCTAAAAACTGATAAATTCTTTTTACTTTGAAACTAATCAACATAGATAAATCGTTCGAATATTGAACACGGAATATGAATAAAGTTATGGCACCATTAGCAAAAGAAAATTTTGCTTTTCAAAAATTTTTTATTTTTAGTAATACAATTTGGGTTCTTAAGAAATGTAAAAGAAAAATATTTATATTAACCATTAGCACTTTGCTTTAATGCTTCATAATCTTTAATAAATATTTAAACAACAATTCTCGGATAATCATTAATAATTAATTTCAAACTCATAAGCTAAATTGATGCCTGTTACACTTTAGTTTACTTTAAGCTGAAAAAAAAGAACAACGTCTGCTGGTAGCCGTAAATGATTAATGTTATATAATCTTATTTCTCAACAGTTTCAATAATTTCGATAATCTTCAAAGCCACCGAAAGAATTATCGAATACTTCCCATTAAATTTAGCGAAGTTTTTTAACTCACTTTGCTTAACTGACCCTGCAAAAGTTTAAATATAAAAAGCTACTAAACAAAAGAGGAATTGATGAAGAAGTTTCATCTGTTTTATGTCAGGTGTTCGTCTGTAACCTACCTCCTGTCCGTTCACTAGTCATCTCCTGCAATATATCCTTCCGATATTAAGTGCGTATACTCGTCAGTGAAATGGTAGTTCGTCGTTCCATCGGCCCTAACTTCGCCTTTGTGTACGTTAGCAAAACCATTAAAATCTTACCCAACATCTTGCCTAAATTAAAAATATTAAAATGGATTATTTTTAAATATATAAAGCAAATAAAAAACTAAACATTAATTTAAATGCGTTAAAATCCCGACACATTACAAGACAAATAATATACTTCATTTTTGCCTCCAATACTTGATCATCAATCTCAACGATCCTTACGCCACCGCTCATCACATTTGGGCGCATCGTTTTGAGTTAATGTTATCAGCAAACGTCCCAAAACCAAATGCCACTTTATCACCCGGATATAGAAGTTCACCACACAATGTCAACGATAGCAAAGTTACGATGTTTTAAGGTAATGCTATTGCGATCGACGAATCATAATGAGATTAATAGCGTCCCAAAATTCACTCTGAGAGCAGGAATGAAACACAGCATAACAGCAATCAACCTTGATTAAATGACTTGATAAAATTGATTAAATATTATATATAGTCATTTATAAATAGTCGTTTCCAATGACTCAAACATTTTCAAAAAGAAATCAGTTTGAGTGTGCTTTACAATTATTTTATCTTGCAAGTTTTTGCAAAAGCCATCTTTATTGTGTTAATCAAGAGTAAAATGCATACAGTGAAATGCTTCTCATTTATTAAAATTCCTTTTTGGCGATTATTAATAATCAATAATTTTATTGCTATTAGTCTATTTACGACAAAGACCATTTAGTACTTTTGTTCGTATTGCGTTAATATTTAATTAAAATTAATAATTCACATAGACACAGCGATGACTAACATAAGCGCTTAACAAAATAATTGCGTTATAATTTTTGTATGGCACACGAAACGTCAAAATAAAGCTAGGTGTGTGTATTTATATGTGGTTGAACATACAGCTTTGCGCTGACGCAAATTTCTAACAAGCTTTTAAAGTTTCTGCATACATCGTTTTTGGCAAACAAAACAACTCCATATCTATGAAAACAAAACAATATCATATGATTCTTGTTTCAAAAACAATATGATTTTAAGCGATCATTTACAATTTTATTAAAATAAAAAAAGTTAGAGGATATTGCTATCGAATTCCTACACGGAAAAAAATTGCTGTCCCACTATTAATTTTATTTTGCTTCATAAAGTCATTTCTCAAAAAAAAGTTCGCTTTAGTTATTTTACACTTCAATACGATTTATAGAAAAACAAACGCTAACCATACGATTATGCTTTATTAACGAATGCAACCGGGCTTTTCTTTGAATCTTTTACTTTTGCTCATTTTTATCTTTTTTTTGGCGAAAAATTACAAGGAATATAATACATGACGACTGCACCCTGTATAGAGCAAATAACGCATATTTGTCCCATCGGACATCAGACTTTGTTCATTGTGAAAATGCAAAAATTAAAAACGACGAAAACATGGACAGACCCTACGTGCACACTATATGATATCGACCAATACTCTTCAAAATCATATAGCTACAATTCGTAATTATTATTACAACATGCCGTAGCTCCATAACTTTTATATAAATTTAATAATTCTTATAGATTGAAAACCTTTCACGAATCGATAATATCGCGAAGCAAACTCTCGATAACTTTCTATAAAAATAAATTACACTGCATTTCTACTGTGCGTGTATGTATATTTACATATATGTATTTTATTTTTATAGAAGTTTCCTTGGTTATTATACTGTATATACTGTATATATATATACTCATAAACCTTGCCCGATATAACCGTAATTTTTAATTAACAAATGATATTTCATAAGAGTTGTTCAACGGAAACCGATAACTCCGACTATTTGGACTAATTTAATAAGTTGAAAAACTCGAAATTGTCTACAAATTGATCAATTTTTAAGAAAAAATCGACAAAAGCGGTTCTCTATTCGCGCTTCCTTTTCAAGATTCTTACTTCGTTTCCCGCTCTCCCTCTATGTCTTATCTTTCTTGATTATCATCTCGATTTGCACTTCGCCTGAAAGTAAGAACAAAAGATTTATACTTCGTCAAGTTTAAACTATATAACTGGCTTCTACACCCGTACATTGTAAACGTATGAGCAAATGCATAATGTCGAAAAATTTTTATAAATATTAATAAACAAATTGTCAATAAATATTTATAGACGTGAAGACAAGAACTATGTATGTGCATATATTATAATGGCAGTAATTACAACAGCAACAACGGCTGTAATGCAAACAATAAAATTTCCATATAATAAAATAAATATTAATTTTCTGTCATCATTATTAACCAAATTGCAAACCAATTATTCAACAACAATTCAATGAATGTTTTATGAAACCCAATATAACACAAAAAAAAAAGTACAATCTACTGTAACAAAACGAAAAAAACGAAAAATTGACTCCGGCTATCAGTAATAAACAATGTATGGATTTATGTACATATTGCTATGTTATACTCCACCAACAAACAGTAACAACATCAAATACGCACGTACGCATGAAAATCATAACACAAGTTATGTTTTCCATTAACCAGAAAGAGAAGGACAATTAAATGAATAAATAAAAATAAAATATCTGAAAAAAGAATGAAAGACTTATGCACGGACAAGTAAGAAAACAATATTGATTTTGACTAACTTCCATCGCAAACGGAAGTGTAAAAATTTCAAAACACATTTTAACATTGTACTCAATTGGTGTTGCATGCAATTTCTGCATTAATTTCGAAACGCTTTGCAACTACTGTAGTCGGATGCGCTCGCTTTGCAATTCTTTCTGCGGTTTTAAAATGAGACCATAAGCGGATAAATAAACGTTCTCTTGCAATTTTCAACTGAAACGATGGTTCGATGGTGGAAGAGGATTAAAAGCAACTTGTATTCCTCTTCCTAGATGATAGCCCGATCGTTTCGAGAAACATAACATAGGAGTTTCAATTGCACACTTCTCACCACTCAAAAAGTTTGGTGAAATGAAAAATCGCTATTGTATTAATAAAACAAACCTTCGCCTTTTAATTTTTTTTGCACTGCTTTGCGGTTACTGCAATTATTAAAATCTGGCCTTTATGATGCATTGCTTACTCCTATGTATAGAGGTGTGAAAGTTTAAATACGATGCAATATGGTAATAAAGAGTAATAGAACATTTTTGAGATATGACTTCATATCGCTAAGCGCCAATTTTCGATTAGAATCGAAGATGTGAGTTTCAATCGGAACGGTGTTATTGAAATATATTCGTAGAATTGAGGGCCATGGTGACCGTTATTGAACCGAACTTTTATTGAATAGCAATTTGTTTAACAGAGCTTATTGTTGAAACTTTGTTCAAAAATAATAAGAATACTTTAGTATTACTTTCTTATTTTTGGGAAATTTTGTACTAAGCATTTTTTACATATTAATATATTTTCGCATAAATGTTTTTGTTTCGTTTACTAATCTCATTAAAATCTTAAAATTAACACTCTTTTTAAGCAATTTTTATTTTCTTATATAGTGACTGATAAAGATTAAAGTAGAAAATTTTAATGAACTGGTGCGCTTTCCAACTAACATCTTCCTTCTGTGCCCAATAAATTAAAATTGCGAGAAATCTGATTGAGTTTTTACTATACTTTTTCACATTTTCAACAATATTATAATAACGGCTTGTACGTAAAAAAATTGTATTTAAAAAAATATTTATTTTCTCGATTAGTAATAACATTACGAGCCTAGAACGTAAGTAAAATTAATTATAATCTCACTTCGATATTTAGGAAGAAAACAAACAAAAGTGCAGTAAAAAAATGCTTTGTTAATTTTGATTTTTATTTCTTCTTTCTCAATTTTATGTCCTGTGTAAACCTACGTTCACTTTTACTCTCAATTATAAAAACATACAATACAACACTGTTGAACACGTCATGCCAACTCAATAATACTCGAAACACACTGTCCACTTTAGCCTACCAATATTACCACCTCAGTGCTGGATCGTACTTTTGACAATTTGGGTAATTTTTTGTGGCACCAAGAAGCAGAAGAATTTGTTGAGAAATATCCACAAAAAAGACGCTCACAATTGCCAACGATTGTTTCTTCTACGCTTTACAATAAACCTTCTGTTACGCACGCAATGAAAAAGCGGTCCAATGGTGGTGAACTGTTAACTCCATATCAACGGCATCAACGTGATATGTTTAGCGGTGATTTAGGTATACCAGAAATAAGCAGTCATGTGGGTAGCATGGTACATACTTTTGAGACTATGGCCTTGCAGCGCGAGATTACTGAACGCCAGCGAGCACAACGCAAGCGTGAACACAGTGAGTATTTACCTGAAGTCACTAATAGCAACGAGTCCACTCCTACTTCTTACAACCGTGGTATTTTAACACTTAACGGCACCAGTAATAAAAAATTACAACAACTCAAGAAGAAGTCCCATGATTCACGTCAAAAGGTAATACAACATATACTACTACATCAAGACCATTTGCAACAATCATCGTCCTTATATCAAAAGCATTTATCTGTTAATATTAAGCACAAAAACATTCATGACTCGATACACTCTTCCACTTCTAATTCCGAAGTCTACTACAAAAATATTGATAACGATTACCGTAAGAATTATATTTGTAACGCAAAAACTCATTTAGCGGAGACAGAGTCCTATAGTCAACAAAGTGAAGCTTCACAAATAGTTACTAAAGCTTTTGAAGAGGTTTTAGCAAATTACGAGGATTTAGAGGAGGATGAAGAAGAATCCGAAGGTATAGAAACTCGGAGAGTGAAAATATTCAGCGAAAGCGAAACTGGTAGAAAATCTGAACAATTTAAGAAACCTGCTCCCCTTCTACCTAAAGATAACATAACTTCCGCAAGTCATTCTTCTATTAATAAAAATAAGCATAAAACTCTTCCATTTAATCACTTTATTAAATACTTAAAAGCTTCGTCGCCTTCTACTAAACTTATATCCGCTTCAGTCGCAAAAATGAATTGTCGAGGACCAATTGAGAACTCTGATCATATTCCTCGCGTTACTCCTCCCAGTGGTCACTTGTTACGTGAGGTTGAAGGAGATGAAAGGGGTGATAAACAAAAGCAAAACTTTTTACGAGGGTCGAGTCTAAGTCACAATTTTGTACATCAGTTGCGCGTACATAAACCACATCAAAAAGCTCAAGCTCCTCCAATACCATTAACAAAACTAACAACTTCCCAAGCTTTACGCCAAATTCTTTTATTTCCAAAACGCTTAAAACATTCAGTAGAGTTTTTACCAGAGGACGGCGATGTCATGAACCGTAAGCACTACGGCAAATTAGAAGGAATCAAGAAAATGGAAGAAGATGAGTAATGGAAAGTCTGGGTACTTAGATAGCGTCTAAACTGTTGGTCAGTACATTAAAATTTACATAGTTTGATATTCTTCTATCAGCGTTCGCATTGTCAACTTACCGCTTTATGGATATAAAAATTTTGAAAAAGTTTGTGATGAACCGAATATCATGTACCAATAATGTAACCTTGGACACAGTTGATTGTAACAGCTTTATGTACGTTGATTTTTATGAGCTTGTTATCTCAAATCAATAAAAAAAAACCTTAGAGTGCTAATGGTTAAATTTTGTTGGCCGTTTTTCGGACGAAATTCATTCAAATATAACTGGTAAGCAAATTTTGTTTCACATAAAGGAGTTCGTTCTCTCTAGCATCTACAGTAGCCGACTAAACAATGATAGAAGGAAAGAGTATTTAATCCAATGTAATAAGAAGGAGTAAAGAGAAACACTCTAAACCTTTTAGCTTAGACTAAAGTCAACTAATTAAGTCCAACTGTAAGGCTAACGTTTTTATCTAAAAAAATCAACTAAAATCCGTAAACGGTCATAACAATCATAAATCATAGCCACGCGAAAGAGAACAATAAAAATTTACCTTTTAATATTTGACACGTTTGCTATATATCATGCATTTGTTTATAATTGTTTGAATTATGTGAGCTTAGGTTATCCCGATTTTTCATGGGAAAAAGACAATTTGCAATCATTTACAATAAAGAGCAAATTCAATTTCTGTTTTGTCATATCTACGCATCAAAAAATTCCTGAACCTACATCAGAGGGACAGAGACGCTTAGAAAAACAAATAGATAATAAAATTATCCCCGCCTTGCAGCCACATGAAGCCGCTTTGGAATTTGTAGCCTTTAAATAAAAGTTGGTTTGTCAAGTTTTAGCTTTCTAATTTCAATTTTTCCGACTACAAACAGTCAAACAGCCAGCACACTAAGGGAAGGGCAAATAGGGTGAGATAAAATTTATATCTTACGCCCATCAAGATTGTGTACGTTATAGCGATGCTTTACAACAAAAGGCGTTCCAAACGAGAAGACTATAAAATAATTGTTGTTTTTTTCTACACCATTCTTTGAATAAATTCCATAGGGGTTAACGCGCCAATGCCATGTAGACGAAGAGTAACAATTTTACGCCTCATTCGTTATGCTAAGAAAAAGCGCTAAATGATGATGGGTCCGTAACAAAAAAGAATGGAACAGTTTTAGAGACAAAATTTTACTTACTCCTAGAAGGGTAAAGAGATATTTTGGCAAACTAGAATGGAGACATAAATATCCCACGACATATTTTCGCCCTTTTTAAATCTGAAATTTGTTTTTTAATATACAATTAAATAATTTTTATATTAATTACAAAGATTTTTAGACTATCATCTTCATCTTAATTGTAAATAATTCGTAGAGCGCAATCATTAACTAACATGCAAGAAATAAAAAGTACGAAGCATTTTATATATACGACTATAACTAAAAAAAAAAAACCTGAAAATTGTTGACTGATATTTTTGCTGAACAACCTCAAAAACGATTTATTTTTGTTTAACTTTCTCTAAACTTAGGAGACATCTACTGTTTAAAGGGACACTTGAAAAACATTTCCGACTCCTATAAAAACGTAACCCCGCCGCCTTAATAAAATTTGCTAATAATTTGCCATAATTTACAAAGTCTTCGTTCTGAAAGATTTCTATCGATTAAAACAAAAACGAATCTTTTTGCTTTAAAATTGTATTTAAAATATACAACATTTTAATGTACAAATTAAAAAAAAAAAAATTAAAAAATAAGAAATAGAAAGTGAAAATAACAAAGAATTACTAAATATTTAATTTAGTTTTTAAGCTTTAGGTAAATCGTGTATTAAATGACAATGAAGAACGTTGATTTTTATTTGTTTTTCCTCTACTTGCATGTTAAAGTGTAATGAAAAATAAAAGATATTGATACTTACCATTGGTGAACATTAGCGGTAAAATGTGTGAGAGATTTGCTACGTCTGACATGTATACGAAAACGAGATAATTTAATTTTAAAAAATACGTTTATATAAAATATTTCAAATTAAAACGCATTTCGTTCAGTTAGATGATACATGCCCTGTAGATTTTTTTTATATTGCATAAGAAGGTATAAAAACCTTCGCTCTGAAGCGAATTTCTCCTTCTAAGACCTATCAGAACCATTTCTTATAAATATGTATTTGATTTTTGATTTCGCGTCCAAGTATTCTCACTCGTCCCGTGCACTTAAGGACCTTATATTCAAAGTTTATACTGGTTAGAGTTGTGAAATTGGTCGTAAAGGCGAGCAGACAGCCACACGCATGGCTATGTTGAATTTATTTTATTAATAATTGCAGACTAAATGATGGAATTAATCGGGAACTATGGCGCGTTTATCTGATATATATTCACCCGTAATGGCAGATACGTAAATCTTTGAACTAACTGAGGACTTATCGAATCTCTCTAATAATATTTTACCCCTTATACAGTGTTTTTATTACTGTATAATAGACATACCAAGCTTAACTTAATAAAACATACATATTTGTATATAACATAATTAGCATATATAAAGAATGAATGTGAAGAGGAATAGCAACCGACAAACAAACTTATCTACTAATACATTCATTAATTTTTTGTGCATGCGATACAATAAAATTTGAGAAAAAAATTCAAGTAAAAAATATTAATGAAAGTTTATTCCTGTTATCTGCGGAAGCGGTTAGAAATTGAAGTAAGTACAAACGAAGTCCTCGTGTCAAGGCGAAAACATATATAAAATGTATTTAGGTAATAATTTCCACCTAAGATTTTCTCTAAAGAAACTGGAGAAGAATCGAAGATAAACTAATTATAGCTTGTGCTAAAGTGACATAAAAATTGGATAAAAAGTATAATAATTATTATATATTTATTATATCTTTTTCAAGAATTTTTATAGTCCTACCCTTTGAAAACTTTTAGGTAATTGCAAAAATTCGCGACTACTTTCATGTAAACACATTTTCAAATTGACATGAAATATAAGTATTGCTTAGATCTGACAAATATGGAAGAGATGATGGTTTCTTGATCGTTTTAGCATCGTCTTCTTCTTCATACTTTTGCACATTTTCGTTATGCTATTGTTGAGTTTATAACCTTACAGAACATTTTTATAACGTATTCCTACACACTTGATTTGAACAATTTATTTACTGAACATACTAACTCCATTCGTGATATATCTGACTCATCATTTTGTTTCTGTCATTTAAGAGTGGACGATGATCGATTAACCCTTTCCTGTCAACCTAAACTTTTTAACAAGATTTTTTTGTTTGCTCTGAATATACTGAGCATTTTCTTTAGCAGCAGCCTCTTTTCGGATCAGATTACTACCATGCAATCACGTCAGATGATTTTTATACTATTATTTGCAGGCATCGTTTATCGCAGTGCAAATGGTTGACATTAACCAATCGCTTTAATATCGAATATTGTCTAATTACGTTGACTAAATCGGCGAAAACGCGCAGCATTGTTGCACTATCTGACCTCGAACAGAAAATCATTTCCAATCAATAGGTATAATGAAAGGTGATTCTATCGAAAATAATTTTGGGTGTTACGTGCGTTCGCAAAAATTTAACTTACACTATACCACAAGTGATGCAAGGTATTATTATTATAATATATTTTCATATAATTTATTTATTTACGCATGAATCTCAATTAAAGTAAATTAACAGCCGAATTCAATTGATTCTTATAAGTAAATCTTATACTAATTATTATTCAAAACTAGTATAAAGTGTATAGGGAGAAGTAAAAAAAAAAATAAAAAAAGGAAGGAAAAAGCACGTAGACAGCTAGCACTGAAGCACATTTCGAACATGCATAAGCTTGGCAACCGGTAACAGTAAACAAGACCAGTTAATTTTTGAATCATAGTGAGATGTTAAGATTGCAAGTTAATTTAAATACGACCTATGTCGTGTTAAGCGTAGATGTTTTGATAGACTTTAGAGAATCCGATATTGAGATTAAGTGATGAACATCATTAAGGTTTCTGCAAACAACTCTGAACGGATTAAACAGCTCGTAATTATATTTACTTTGACTAGGCTTAATGAAAATAAAGCGCATGAAGAAGCGATTAGAGACATTAAAGCTTATCTCACGAAGTAACGGGGACGACAATTAACTATCATTAATTAACTTAATTAATAAGGAGACACCAAAAATGTATCTACATTTCTCAACTGACGGTAGGGCTAACAGAAGCAACTTACTTTCATAAGGTGGCAGAAAGATAAGCCCAACCAAAGTACCTCAGGGCAAACAGAAAAAATTGCTTTATTTAGATTCAATCAAAGTAAAGCATAATCAATTGTTGGTCTAGCTAAGCACATGCGTAGCTTTTTTGTAATGTAAGGATCTTTAAGCTCTTTGCCACCTCTTAATAAAACGTAGCGTGGACCTAGCTTTACTTAAATATGACTCAATGTGCAAATTAATCTTTGGTCGAATAGAATCCTTAAATCGATGAGCTAATCTACCGTTTCCAACTTGGGCGAATCGACGACGAAACCGTTGGTATTGAATGATTTCTTACTTTAGAAAAAAAGCTTCTTGCATCTTTTTAGATTTAATTTCATAAAATTTAACGAACACCATGTAACCAAATTATGTAGGTCAATTTGAAGATGATACGATTGCGATTCCAAGGAGAAGGACGAATACTCTTTAACATCGTCAGCGGATACTAAGATCTGGCTACGTGACTGCCTTGAAGAACGTCAGGTTTCACTTGAAATTCGTCCGAACTTAAACAGGATCCTGAATGATCTGTCATGCAGATAAGAGTTTATCAATTTCACAAAGCACAAAGGCGAGACCAACGCTTGAGTTTGAAAATCAATAAGTCATGGATAACTAAGCCAAGCGCTTCACTAAAAGCAGTATATACGACGTCCGATATATGGAGATTTTTCATTCTGAGTTGTCAACTTATAAAGATATTTAGGATTAACAAGCACGGAGGATCTGCAATAATATTAGTGGTTAGTAATTGAATCAAATCCTTGCAGCAGAGCAAGCGCAGTAGTCGTAAGGATAACCAATTTTCATTAATTTTGCGAAAAGTTGGTTTTTCCTATTTTTGTAATATTTAACTCTCTTGTTAAACCAGAACGAGCACTTGCTTCGAAGCCGAGGTTGCTTGAAGGGGACGGATGCCAAAATAGCGAGGTTTAATGCATAATGGACCGGTAATGGTAAGGTTTCAATATTCTCAGCAGAGAAATCGAGCATAATGTCTGAAAGATGGGATTCAGGCTGTAAAATATTGCTTCTGTCAAAATCGGAATATTTATTGGAGGAAGTTCAACGGCCCATCATGCCTGTAAAAAAAATTGTTGGATGAAGCGGATCCTCAGAAAAGTGGACAGCGGCTTACAGCTATCTCCTAGTTAGTCTGCCATTACAGTTAGGAGCACTATTGCATTGAAGTAGATTTCGATCAAATAATTCATTGAAAAACACAATAACCCTATCAGATGTTGAAGCGGTCTGCCGGAATTACCACTGTAATGCCAAGTAACTTGTAACAAATCGAAGTCCCCCAACGCTATGGCTATATCAGAAGGATTAGACTCTTCGGCCACGCCACAAACGAGGGCAGCATGGTTCTTATAAATAAAGATATTCGCATTTCTGGCAATATAGAAGCAAGTTACTTATAGCTGCTTATTGGCAATTTTCGCCCGAATGGCAATAAATTCAACGTCGGCAGAAGTAGGAAATTCAATGAGATAGGACGGAACTGTTACAGATATGGCAATGAAAACAGCACCACCGTTGTGATACAATCGATCATTTCCGAAAACCCGGAAAGAATTGTGGAAAAGCTCCGAGGAGTGTAAATCAGGCCTTAATCAGGTTTCAGCGAAAGCGAAACACTGAATTTAGGAAAGTAGTTGTTGAGTTTAGGCCACTAACATTTTGGTAAGTGAAAGTTTCTGGGCCTGAAGAAACATTTAGTTTCTTGAGGATGGAAGAACTATGAAGAGTAATTTACGATTAACCAACTCAACAAGTATGTGCATATTGATTTGATGCAAATTTGTTTTTTTCTTTTTGTCACTGAATTTAGGCATGTAAAGAATTTTTATATCACTTTATTAATGTTAAAGATATTATACATATGTTGAATAAAAAGTATCTCAAATTCACTGGTAATTCAATATAAAGAAAGATAATGGAGAACTAAGCAAAAGGATTGATGACAGTACTATTTTACAGCTTGACTCTATCTAACGACCGTGCGACTTTAAACTTTACCCGCCGACTTCCACTTAACGACCGATCTTACAAGTTGAATCACCGACGGCCAGATAACGACTGCAATCTTACCCGCCAACTGCAACTTCATAAATGATACTTGTTTCTCTGTGTTTATCTAGCGTTGCTCTTCGGATATTCTATCAGCTCTCCACTTCGCTGCTATGCTAGCCATCTACTCTTTCAGGCACATGACAATATCTTCTTCATTTTGAAAAGGCTTCCATGCTTTGATGTAACCAACACAGGTGGCATTATTACGTGGGCCTTCAAAGTCTGGCTGAAGTGAAGTTAGCCCACTGTAGCTAGCCCACATTTTAGCATAGACAAAAATATGTGCACATATAAAACATACTAAGTCGCTAATTAGGAACACAAAACCAAAAATGCTTAATTATTGCAACTAAATCTCATGCAAAAGTACGTTACAAATACTG